GCCATGTTTCTGCCAGTTCCCTCACCATCCCAGAGAGAATGTGTGAGCCTCCTCATCAGTTTTTATCTTGTCATGTATTTATTTAGATTTATTTTACTATTATTTGTGTGTGAGAGAGTGTTTTGGATTACATAAATGCTTGCTGAGCAAGGATCGGGTAAACTTCCATATGGGTACTGGGAATAGAGCCTGGGTCCGTTGAAAGAACAAGTACTTTAACCACTGAGACAACTATGCAGCCCAATTTATGACTATTATGAATAGAGCTACCTTAAACATGGGTGAGCAAGTATCTCTGTAGTAAGATGTGGAGTCTTTTAGGCATATGTCCAAGATTGGTATATACAGTTTTCTTCTTATTACTGAGTGATATTTAATAACATATGTTGTACACTTTGTACATATTTTTCCTATTATGATCTTTCTTTATAACACTGGACTTAACTCTCCAATCCAGATTGACTTGGAGGTGAATGAGGAAACTATAGAGGCCAAAATGTCAGTGAGAGTTGCTATTATGGAATATTGCAATCATATGGCTTGGGGGCTTTTGAGCTACAGAAAGAAAATAGTCTGGTAGTTAAAAATGCAAGCAAGTCAAAAGGATTAGATTTTTTCACAGGTACCAATGTGATCTTCTTGTTGGTCTTGCCTTTCTGTACCCAAAGCATCCACTGTTTCTACAATGTTCATTACTTATTTCTCCTCCATAAAGCCCACATTTGCCGTCCAGTCACTCAGTCATGTGGTGTAGATGAAAACACTGGGCATCATTTGTGTTCAGTTCAGCATTTGCCATGGACAAGTTGGCAGGACCTGAAAGCTTCAGGATGAAGTTCTCATCCTCAAATTTTTCCCTGAAGTTAGACTTACCTACAATGCCATCATGACATACGAAGTTACCACCATGACACATAAGTCCTGAAATAATTCTGTGAAAGGAGAAACCTTATATCCAAATATCCCAATCATTTTTTTCTCCAATTCCCAGAACATGAAATTTTTCTGCTGTCTTTGGAATTTTGTCTGCAAACAGCTTGAAGGAGACGTAGACCAGATACTTGCTGTCAGTTCCAATGTCGAAGAACATGTGGGGTGAAACGTGCTAGGCAGCAAGAAGGAACAGGGGATAGTGACATTATTTTACACAGTATATTGATTGGTGTTTCCAAGTTTGGATAGTTATAAATAAAGGCAAACCTTGGTGAGTTGATGATTGTGTGGATATTTTTTTTGTTTGGGTCATTTTGGCACTAAACTTCATTAATTGCTGGGTTAGATTGGAAGCTTGGATAAGGATGCTTAAAAGAAATCCCACACTAGATCAGAATTGAGAAATAGATGGTTATTTATTTAGGGGTAGACTCACAAATCAGAATCCTCTACTGGAACGGAGATCAGTAATCAAATCCCGCAGCTGGAAAAGAGGCTGGACGCATGCTCTACATCGGCATAAATAGTATAAGAGGCCACGTCCCAGTGGACGGGTAACTACTGGCTGTAGGACTTCCTACAGCAGAAGCTCATTTGTAAATTTAGAGCTATAAAAATTTACCAATTATCTTCAAGTATTCTTTTATCAATTCCCATAACATCAGCTTTCAGTGATGAATGAAGATTACTTTTGCTTCACCTAGTAAGATTTGTGATTGTCAATTGTGTCAACTATAGCCATCATAGCCATTTCTTCATGTATTGAACTCAATTTTCAATGATGTTTCCTTTGGTTATTGATTTTAAATGGAGGATTCACTTTAGAGGTTTATATTAGATGTGTGATTTGCAATACTTTCTTTCATCACATACATTGCCTTTCATATTTCCTTTTCAGTATTTATTATAGAGAATATATTCTTAATTTCAGCTAAAATGTTTTCTTCCCTTTTATAGTTTAACTTTGTAGTTGGTTTTATGTCTAATACATTATCTTAACCATAACATCATATAGATTTCTCTTTTTTTTATTTTCTAGGTGATTTATATTTTTAAAGGATTTATTTATTTATTATGCATACAGTATTCTGTACTCTGCCTGCACGTCTGCCTGCAGGCACAAGTCCTCATTACAGATGGTTGTGAGTTACCATGTGGTTGCTGGGAATTGAACTCAGGACCTTTGGAAGAGCAGGCAGTGCTCTTAACCTCTGAGCCATCTCTTCAGCCCCAATTTATATTTTTTATATTAGAAGAACATAGTAACCTTATGAATGTGCTGTTTAATAAAGATGTTTATAATCAATATAGCTTAATGTCTTTCACACTATAAAGTGTAAGATCAAAGGCTTTCTAGGCATAGTTTTCATTTTTAAAAGATTATATAACCATGTCTGCTTGGGACAATTCTGGTTTATGCCTATGTCCTCCCAGCGTTGTTAGGAGGTCCTCCTTGTAAAGTAGAGAGTGGTCAAGTTTGGAAATTGATTATATAGCTTTTTAGTTCACAAATGTTCTTGGAGTGAAATGAATTATTTCTCTTATGAGTGGAACCAGCAGAGTTTGATTCTTCAGCTACTGAATAAAGCTCCTGATGTTATGTTGACATTGCTGAAAGGCAGTGCACACTCTGTCTCTTGCTACATCTCTCAAAGTCAGTTAAGAATTAATTGGCCAAAGTGTGGAGGTGTTAAATCTCCAGAATCAGTTTATCAGCTTTAAATGTAGTTCACAAAATAAATCTTATTATAACAAAACTTGGTTATTATTGAAAATCAGTCTGATTTTTACATAGGTGCCATATTTTCAGTTAGATTTTCCTGGGAATGTGAATTATTGAGTCTCTAAGAATAAATATGTTTTGTGTTTGATTTGTCAGCTCTGAAATTGCAATTCATTAAAATTGAAAAGGTTTGAAATGAAAACCATGATTGCTCTGATCCTGTGTAAACTTTTCTTGCTCCCTTCAAGACCATGCATACGACACCTAAGTGTCATGAAAGTTGACAAGGCTTTTTGGTCTAGTGAGCTTTACTTGGTTACAAAAAGTTGGGAGATTATGGAGAGTAGATATTTATTTTGCAAAAACACATGAAGTTCTATGTAATAAGGTTCTAGTTTTTTATTGCCTAAAATAAAATAAATAGCTAAAATGTATTTAAAGTATGAAACAATAATTTACAATTATAAAAATGAACCTAGTAAGAGACAAATGGAAAGTATATTAAATGGATGAAAATTCAACATACCTTGTGATGAAAACATTTTTCCCATAATGTGCTTACGATACAAGTGAACCTTACAGATTTAGTCTGCAAAGCTGGTGGTGGAAGCAGTGTGAGAACCGAGATCACGGTTTAGTTCAGGTTCCACTCCTATATACAGTGTTGCCACCGCAGTTCCTTCCCTGGGTTTGGAATGTCCTAGTCTTTTTTTAATTTACAGCATTTTAATATCTGCTTCTTTTTTCGTTTTGTAGCTCATTACATAAGATAAGCTCTTTCATGCCTGTTGGGTCCAGCTCAGACATCTCTTCACAGACTCTCGAAAAGAAAGGAAGATGCATGACATATTCCGTTCAACTGTCCTGTCCTTAATTTATTATTTTTCATCTCTTGCGTTTTGCATTAGTCAGTATTGAAAATCAGCCTGAGTTTTACATTGGTGTCAAAATTTCAGTCGAAGAAGAAGAGGTCTCTCCTAATGATATGTTGTGGATTTTTCTATATTGCAAAGATGTTATATAGGCTCTAGTAGGCAGGAGATACTAAAATATTATTCATTGACAATGAGATGTTTTTATATTCTTCTAAGTTAACATATTAATTAATGTATGAATTATATATATATATATATATATATATGCAGAACGTTTAATTAAAAGACCATTCTGCAGAGTGCTGAAAATTCTGAGATCAATTTTCAAATTTTTTTGGTTACCATATCAAATTACCACAAATTAATTGACCAGGAGGATACAATAACACAATGAAGTACAACTTTTCATTTTAAGGCACAATGAGTTTGTGGTAAAAGGCTACAATTCCCCCCCCAAAAAAAACCCAAAGAACAATCAACTAATTTAAAACAAATACAAAATTAGGAAATTATGCATCTCAATTAATATTAGAGATATTTCCTATTCCTCTAGGAGTATTATCCCTGGTTAAATTAATAGAAAAGAAGCTCTGGTTTCCATTGTAAGCAATAAGTGTGCTGAACTTGCCATCAAAATGTGAGCTTTGGCTCTGTGTGTGTTAAATATTAAATACACCACACTCTTGGTGCCGGAGAGAAGGTGAAAACATAGTTCTCAATTGATCTATCAAACATCCCCTTCTGCCGGCTCAGATGACTCACCTTCCGTTCCTGAAGGCAAATATGATGACTCAGAGCTCATACAGTAGGTACCACTTAGATTTTGTCATACATGAAGTTCCATGAGAGCTAGCAAGGGCTCTAACAGAAACCAATACAAACATTTTATATGATGTTACCTGGGTCCAAGAAAGCCTAATACTTTTTCAAGTCACAGAGAAGTGTTTATTGGATTTTTATTACTACCTAGGAGGATGAACTACCAAGGCCTGTTTGAGATTTTAAGTAGGGATTTTTTTTTTCTGACAAACGCTTACTCACCTACAAAACCAACAACAATAAAAAGCCAAATCAACTACAAAGAAAGGTGTGCCAGTCCCTGGACAATGGGATAGATAGTAAGTACCCGTGTGTAACATGTGTGATGTGTGACTGCTAGTGATCTTTAGTCTTCAAACAATGTTCTGTGGACAGTTAAGTTTTGTTTAAATGTCTTTATTTGCTGTTAGCAGTACAATCCAAGAACTAGGAACAGGGTTCCTTGAAATCTCTGACTGATTTTCCTTTCTGAAACATAGTAATGCCTGTGTCAATTCTCTTCTTGTGAAATGGATTTTATAGCTTGGTTAATTTATAATACACAGAAATTAAGATATGGCCTAAAGCAATTGAAGAAGAAATGTAGTTTTCCTAGTTCTTGCCTTTTTGCATGAAAAATCATATTAAGAAGATTGCTAAAATGAATTTACCATTGGCAGGTGTCTTTAAGTTCTCAAGTATCCAGATGTCATTGTGCAAAGCATCTTGAAGAATTTATTTCGCTTCCCTGCATGAAAACAATGAATATTCATTCAGTATATGTAAATGAGATTTTTCTCCTTTCCCTTTTCTCCTTCAGTTTACAAGCTAGATATATTTCATTGAATTATTTCTCCCTTCCAAATTATGGTAAACACTAAATGAGCATCCTTTAATAGTTCAGCTGTAGAAGTAAAGACACATTTTCATGTAATCACTAAGACTGGAAAGCAATAGTTATTGTATCTCATATTAGTTTCAGTCTTCTAAAGATTGAGCCTACTAATTCAGGTGGAACAGTTAACAATGTTCAAATTAGGACTGGAGACAGCAGCTCATAGTTGTCACTGAGTCCAGTGTTCATATCAAATGTTAGAAAATTAGAATACTTTCTAAGGTGACATCTACTAAGCCTCATGGTATTTATATCCCCTGACTGTAAGTTTGGTAAGTTTACTGATCATGTTATGCTACCTTTTATATACACATTCTTCAGGTCTTGGGTATAAACAATGGTCTTGGGATGATTGATTGCACAGTAATGAATATTTATTGTTATGGGCCTATATTGTAGTGGTGTGAGTAATAATGATATCATTGCCTTTTTTAAAAGATGTATGTTTGCTAGGGTGGGTCTATGTACATACATGTGGTGCAGGTGCTAATGTAGATAGATGTGGGTCAGAAATTGACTCATGTCAAGTGCCTTTCCATTATTATTTCTGGATTTATGTATTAGTTTATTATTTATTTCTAATTGAGGCATTATTACTCAGTGAACTTGACTCACAGATTCTGCTGTACTGGCTGACCAAAGACCTTCATGTGTTCAGTTATGTCTGCTCTCCCATTTGTGGTGTTATAGGCATGTACCATTGTTCAGGGCTTTTTAGATATGTTGAAACATGTAAACTAAGGTCCACATGTATGTGTGACTAGTGTTTTACTGAGTGAGCCTTTTCCCCAATCCTTGTCTAAAGATTTTAAATTTCATATCTCACAGGTACCTTGAAAGATTCATGCCAGAATTCAGATATGATCTTTCCTGAAGTGATCCAGAAATTCTGATTTATGATATATATTTGGACTTTAATTCAAGTGTACTTGAAATGTATATCAGATAAAATTTGCAGCATAGCTATTGAAAGTATCACATCTCAGTATGTAATTGGAAGGCTAAGTCTTCTGGAATGGTCAGGATTTAATTAAAGGAAAGCAAATATAAAAACTATTGGATCTTTTCCAGTTCAGGGACCTCTTGATCCTGTGTCTGAAGTATATGATGTCTAACAAAGAGCTTGTTGTGTTTCTCTATTTAGCAGTGTGTGTGTCTGTGTTTGTGTGTGTGCGTGTGTTTTGTAATAATAGGCAATGAAAAGTGGACATGAATGAGAAAATGAACTAGGAGGTGTATATGGGAATATTCGAAGGGAGGAAAGAGTAGGGGGTAATAGTGAAGTTAATAATCTCAAAAAGTAAAATAAATAATTTTTTAAAATATTGAAAAATCTTACCTATTTTCCCTATATTTTGAAGGACCTTTTACTTAATTATCTCGGTCAGAAAATGTATTGACTATGTATAACTATCCTCCTACCCACCTTTGTTGAAAGGGGTTAAAAAAAAGCAAGAACTCCTTAAGAAAAATGACTACTTTATTAATTCAAAAATGTCTATGGTAATTAAGCCAAACACTCTAATATGAAAACAGTTATTAGAATAACACTGTTTTCTATTCTAACTATGGCAGTGTCAATCAAGCAGATGTCACAAATTGAATGTGCAGAATCAAAGTAATCAGCCTTCATTATCCACGGAAAATACGAGGTCACCTGTCATCCTCAATGAAGATGTTCAGATTTACGTTGGACACTTGTCGCATCCCATGGAAATTCACTCTTTTAATTTCCTAGTCTCTTAAATTAACTATTCAACCTTTTACTGTTCAGATTCTTTTGCACCTCTTTGACATGAAAATGCAAAAGGGAGGAAAAATCGGTGTTGGTGAGATTAGTCCCCAGCCAGGTCTGTTACTGACCTATACACCGTTAACCATCTGTTTGCTTTTTAGCAACCCTTGGGTTTTCTTTTCTTCTTGGCTCCCGGTTAAGCTCTTCCATAGTAAAGTTCTGATTAATCAGTTTTTCTGGCTCTTAATCTTCTACTTAATTACTAAGATGAGAGCACTTTTTGGATACACTTAAGTCTGAATTGTGTTTCTGAGGTGTAGGCATTGGTTTGGACTCAGTACTTCCTATTTACTACCTCATAAAATATTTGCAGGGTGGGGTTTAAAAGTCCCCCATCCCCTACTCAGTTTTGCTAATAAGAGTTATTGCCAAATACCACTATGAAGTCCAAATGTGGAGAAATCCATAGACACTAACTTGTCTTGAGAACTACATTTAAGGGTGTTAATTTTAAGAGTAGACATATGGTTTGACTGAAATATGTATTTTCTATATATCATCACTGCATAGCTTATAATCTTTGTCCTAGTATTTAAATAAATGGGAAATTATGATTAATTGCCTTTCCTTCTTAAGGATATTATGACCTTATGACCTTTGCCTGCAAACTGTAAAATTCAGCCAATATTTTCCCCTGAGAAATAGATTTCCATTTTAAATGTACTCTTGCTATAAATGAAAAGTCAGCAATAAGAAAATGTTGAGTAATGAGATATGAGTCCAAATATAAATTTTCAAACAGTTTTCATTATTGCATTCAGTCTGCAGACTTTGAATTTAGGTGGGGTGACAACTGTATTAGCAAATGCAATATTTGTGTCCCATACTTTGTCAAACAATGTCTAAAAGCTGAATGGTTCTGTCCTCATTAATCCTCCTCTTAACAAAATATGAACTCACTCAGCAATAATTTCATCCACAAATTAAAACAGCAGTACCAAATTTTGACAGCTGCACTGATAAAATACAATGCCTAATATTATTAAGTACTCCCTAAGTGTATGCCACTGCTGTAAGCACTTTCTGTCTATTGCCGCAATTCTTGGCAATATACTTGTGGGTGAGAATTTGACCCACTGAGATTAAGCATTTCACTCAAGGACAAATCCGTCGAAAGTGAGAGTCATGTTTATTAGGAACTTAAGGCCAGAGTTCTTAGTTACATATTTTTTTTACTTCTCAATCTTACTATAAACTTTACAAAAATAAAGCATTCATTATCTAAGGAATATCATTTTTTGCCATGTATTTTAAAAATGTCAGTCTTGGAAATTTTAGAGGATGTTTTCTGTTTTTGTTTGTTTGTTTATCTTTTTAGAGAGGGTTTCACATACCTGAGATCAGCCTCAAATTGCCACGGTTTACCTTGAAGTTCTTATCCTCCTGTCTTTCCCTACTGGCATCTGCTTCAGTACTTGATGCATGCAGTTTGAGATCAAATTAAGGGCATTCTTCATGTTCATCAAGTGTGTTAGTAACTGGACTCTATCCCCATCCCTGGGAATGTTAATCTGGATTACCATCTAACTGAACTTTGAAGTGCTTAGGAGATCAATATAGTATGAATGCCTGTTCCTAACAGGTGTTTCAATGAAGAATTAACCAAGCTGGAGATGCCTCCCCAGAGTGTCAACTACTCCACTCCAGAGGCTGGAGAAAAAGAAAAGAAAAGAAAACAAGAAATGCAGTCATTTTCTGCTCACTCTCTGCAACATTTTGACTCTGTGGGCCATGCCAGTGTTCCTGGCTTCCTGTCTATCAGAGGCTGATTACCTCTCAAACTCTGAACCAGAATCAATTTGTTCTTCATTAAATTCTGAGGTATTTTTTTCATATCAGTATTATTTCTGGCTATGATGGATAAAACTGTCAATGACCAGATCTAGAATTATTAATAATCAAGGTTCTGGGTATACCTGTGAGGAATTACTGAGAGTAGGTAAGAAGAGTGAGAAAACTCACTAACTATAGGTAGCACCATTACATGGATTGGGGACTTTGACTAAATTAAAAGGAAGAAAGTGAGTCACACCACAAATTAACAGTTTTTTACTTCCTAACTACAGAAAGAGTGTGATTGGCCAAGTGAGTCACACCACAAGTTACACTTTCTGTTTCCTGAATAGAGAAAGAATACAATCAGCCAAATAAGTCATACCATGAATTAGCACTTTCTGTTACCTGGATACAGAAAGAGTGTGATCAGTCAAGTGAGTCATACCATGATTTAGCACTTTCTGCTGACTGTAGAAAGAGTGTGATCAGCCAAACAAGTCATACCATGAGTTAGCCCTTTCTGCTTCCTGACTATAGAAAGAGTATTATCAACCACATCAGGGTTTCCTGTCAGGATTCCTCCTACAGTGAGCGACTTTTTCTTCTCAAACTATAAATAAAAAAAAAAAAAAACGCTTCCCCCTGCAAGTCATATTTGTCAGAAATTTTCTCACAGCAATAAGACAAGTTACTAATACTGACTAAAACAGTAATTAAAAAATATGTATTAATTTAATTCAATAATTAAATTTTACTTGTCTAAGTCCTAGTCAGAGAGGAGAAATAGTCAAATGAATATTATGCTCGTTAAAATATCTACTCATTTATAATCCACTTGTTCTAACAATAGACTAAAGGAGATAGCTAAATTAAGGGAATAAATATCCTCTAACTATAGGTTTTATATATGAATAATTACATCAAATTATTGAACAGTCTATCTGTAGTTTGGCATGGTGGTATATTCCAACAACCCCAGTATGTGGGAAGATGAGACCAGTGGATTGTAAGTTCAAAACCAGCCTGGTTTACATATTGAGATTCTATTACAAAAGAAATAAATAAAAAATAAGCAAAAGAAACAGGAAAATATATGCAGATTATATAGTTAGTTTTGTAAAGCTAGGCTAAATATTTATAATATAAACCTCTGTTTAAAAAATATTTTAAAGGCAAGTTTTCAGTGCCTTTAACATTATTCTTCTATTGGTAATGATAATGAAGTACATGGACACAAGTATAGATCAAAGGTTATTGATAACTAGAAGAGTTATTAGTAACA